GTGGTCTCTGGGAATCAGCATTGTCTTGTCTTATGTCTCCTTCAGGGAGAGTCACTGCCTGCCTGCTCTACAGGGGATGCAGGATTATTTCCCTCAGCCAAGGGCAGAGAAGGCTAGGAGTGTGGGTGTATCCTCTCTGCTGAGGAGTGGGGAGACTACTTCCTCGGGCAGAGTGAGCCCATCAGAATTTGAATTCAATGCCTTCAGCCTCCCTGGGGTCTTCCCACACACCTGCATCCCAAGTCACAGGATCCTCATTTCCAGTCAGTGCCCTCACTTTAACTGCTGACACCCATCAAGTCTAGGAATTAGATTTGCACTGTAACCCAGCCAGTTGTATGAGGACTTGGGTTTGGTTTAGGGCAACCTGAGTTCTATGGCTGCTGGGGAGAAGATTCTCCCCCTGGAAGCTTTTAGACTGCATATGCACGCGTGGAACTGGTCAGTTGTCAGCTCATTATTTTTTCTTTTGTTAGTTTGTCCAAAGATGTTTAAAAAGGATCCAAACATCATTATCTTCCATATTTTTCCACAAATGCTCAAATGTCTTATATACAGTCTCTAAATTCCTTGCTCCTCAGGAGAGGCAAATTAGAGAAGTGAATGCATTTATCTTCATAGTGCATAGTTCTTTAAACAGATCACACCGCGGACTCCGTGCTCTCCATGCTCCAGTTTAGCAACTGTAGGTTTCATTGAATTGGAGAACCACCTCCAGGTACTACCAAGCCCACTAGAGAAAGTCATTCTTACAGATCTGTTTCTCCAGAACCATTCCTGGTATCATGCTCTGCATTAGCCAGGGTTCTCTAGAGGAGCAGGACAGTGTATGTGGTAAAGGAATTTAGTCAGCTTGCTTCAGAATTGTAGCAACATCCAACTCCCACCTGAGAGGCTGAGAACCTGGGCAGTTGCTCAATCCTTAAGGCTGGATGGGGCCTCAGCAGCCAGAGGAGTCCCACAGTAACTGTCTCACTCTGGGGAGACCAAGACCCCGGTAGCCGCTCAGTCCAGGGAGCTGGGCACCTCAGCAAGTCCCAGTTTGACCCTGAAAACCCAGAGGATTCTTGAAGAGCCACTGGTCCTCAGTCAGCTGGAAGCCTGGAAACACTGGCTCTGGTGTCAGCAAAAGAGTCAACAGCAGCAACAGGACAAATCGACTTGCGGGGAGGGGGGGGGCGCACGCCAGCAAAAGGTGAATAGGATAATCTTCCTTCGGCCTCGCCCTTTTTATCTGGCCCGCTGTTCCTGGAAGGTGCTGCCCACATTTTGATGGGTCTCCCCATATTAAGCAATCAGGACAATTCTTTAGGTGAGGCCCCCCACTCAAGGGATTCTAATTCGTGGCACATTGCCATTAAAACCAGCCATCACAGTGCCCTTGCTCTCTGGCAGCTCATAACTCATACAGCTCTTTCCACTCCGTACCTGCTGGTGTGTGTGGTGCCAGGTGAGGATCCTCACGGTGGAGGTGGGCAGTAAAGTGGCAGCTGTTTCAGAGGGTCATTTGGCATTCTCTTTAAAATTCTATTTCCTTGGGGGAGAGGATGTGTGCGGTAGCATACATGCGGAGGTCAGAAGACAACTTTTGGGAACTGGTTCTCTCGTTACCATATGGGTTCCAGGAATTGAACTCAAATCATCAGACTTGGTGGCAAGTGCCTTTTCCCAATGAGCCATTTCTCTGGTCCAGCATTCTAAGTGGTAAAAACTCCCAAGTGTTCACTCTTCCAGCCTGGCGGTGGAACCTCATGACCCCTTAACTAGAGATACATATATACATACATGCATACATACGTGCACACACAAGTGTACAAGGAGGCCTGTAGTCCCATTTAAATGGCAAAGCTTGCTACTCGAACTTGCCTGGAAGTGGGGTGTGTGTCCAGACAGGCTGCCTAGCTGCTGTTAAACCAGCTGCAGGCCAGGTAAATGAACAGCATGCTTTCTCTCAGTGCAAGGAAGACCATGCAGGGAAGGATGGGAGGGTACAGGTGCCCCCCTGGAGGGAGGAACCAGGCCAGATGCCCACAGGAGATGCAGGCTGTGTTCCAGAGTGTATAGTCACGTATTGGGGAGAACCTAGATAAAATACACAAACATATTTCTCTGAGAACTTCAGAGGAAGGCAGAAAGATTTCTGGACATTTCCTAGAACTTTTAAGTGTTTTGTGTTTGTCTTTTTCAGTTTTTTTGTCTTTTTTTCAGTTAAGTTTTGTGTTTCTTAGGCTAAAAGTGAACTTTTGAGAGCCTTATTTTAATTGGGTGGTACTTCTATAGCACAAGGCTATCAGCTTCTTGTCTCTGTAAGGAAGTGTGCTTGGTCACTATGCCTAGAGGGACACAGCTGTAATCTCAGCACTTGGGAGGCAGAAGGCACATATGTTTGAAGCCATTCTGGGTCTCAAAGTAAAAGAAAAATGGGCTGGAGTAGAGCACTTGCCTCGTATGCTCAAGGCCCAAGTTGAGTTTCCTAGGACCACAGAACAGGAAATTTGTTTCACGCTCTCCTCTTGCTCCACAGCAGGCATAGGGCCGTAGGACAGGGCTCCCAGTGCAGCTGGAGGGGGGCACTGGCATCCAGGGCTTGCACTGGTAGCTCCAGGTCTTACCTGTTGTCTCACATGGACTTTCCAGAGCAGCCTCTTGTGGGGGGGGGGCGGGGGCTGTTCAGAAGCCTGGATTGTAGCTGCCTGCTCATATTCCCACTATGAGCTGCTTTCCCTTCTCCCTGACTTCAGATACAGACTTGGTACTCCCTGCATGGGCTGCTGCTCAATCCTGGGGGAAGGGAGGTAGACATGGGTTCCTGAAGAGCAGGCATCTCTCATGAGCATGTGGGTACTTGGCAGAGATCAATCCCTGTGGGGACTTGAGCTGTGTGGGGAGCTCAGCAGCACTCTGACCTCCACAAATGCCTTTAAATTTGGCCAGATGTCCCTCTGAGAGTATAGCAGCCCCCACCCCTCCATTGAACCCCCATTATGCTAGACAAACTGACCTGAAAGCGGGTTCAGATTCCCACTGAGTTTTCAGTCTGTCTTTTTACTCATATGGTGGCAGGCTCAGACACTTGAAGCAAGGGAACTCTCTTGGTGCTCCTGGGTTCTTCAGCTTCCCTTAGTGTTTTCTGTGGGGCTGGAGGAGAAGGCTGCAGGCATGGGCCCTCAACGGGTGGCCTGGGTATCATCCAGGCCCCTGGAAAGCACGGCTGGGACTGGATGACTGGGAGGAGGTGGTGCTGGGCAGCACAGTGTCTTTCCAGTGACAGGCATTTTGAAACATTCACTGGGGTGATGGTTTTATTTTGCTTTGCATTTACTGATTTGTCCCAGTTACGACCTTTAAAAAGGTATTGTACTGTCTGTGCCCCATTTCCAGCATAAAACATGAAGAAACTGAAATCACCTGTTGTGGACTAAAGGTTGCAGTCACAAGTAGGCAGGGTGTGCAGGCCACCCAGGCTCCCCAGTTTGTCAAGTCCCCCACACAGGTTCCCCTCAGCTCTGGCTATCTGGGTCCTGGTCCAGAGCAGGGCCTGTGGGCAGGTCCCTTCCTCTGCAAGGGGCTCTTTGTGAAATGGGGATGAGATGGTGTTGTTCAGATGCCACAGGGTTGGCAGGATAAAGCCCCAAATTCTAAAGAACCCAGGGGAAACAGGTCACCGTGCTATGTAGCCCAGAACCCTGGGATCTGATCTGGCCTTTCCAGTGTTTTCTAAGTAGAGCACTTCCCCCATCTCTCAGATGATTCAAAACTGAGTGGCAGGCCAGGTATTGTACTGTCTATGCCCCCTTTCCAGGTCCTGCAGCTTGGCCCTGCCCCTCCTGCTTGCTCTGTCCAGGTGCCTTGGTGTTCATGTGACTCCCCAGCAGCCTGACTTCTTACACAAGTGCATCCCCAACCCATCCTGAAGATGTAGCCCAAAACAGCACATCCACAGTTCCTTTGGAACCTCTGGATTTGTGGTTAAGAGAAAAACAACAGATGAACTTATGTGATCTCCACCTCACCCAAAGACAAGAGCCGGGCCTTCAGGAGGATCTCTGAGTTTCCCTGGCCGCTCTGGGGACACCAAACCCTGAGTACTCTGGCTTGGTGTTTCAGGACATTGATTGGCACTGTTGAGGTGATGACATGCCACCCTGTACCCTGTATATGCTGTCAGCTACTGGCCTCACGCAGGGACTAACTTGAATTTATTTTGTGCTCGGGCTGCGTACAGATGGTGTTCCTGCCCTGGAAACACAGCCATAGGTTTCTGCATGGCCCAGCCCCTCTGGAGCACGTGGTTCAGGAAGGATAGGACAGGGCATTGGTCTGACCACTATTTTCTGCGGTCTATTGTGGGAGGAGCTTTAACCTTTTTGTACTGCCCCTGGAGCACATATTCCATCATAGAGGTGTCGATTTTCTGTTTATCCAGTGGCAGAGTTGAGGTCTGGGAGGCAGCCAAGAGACTCAGGCTGGGCAGGGTATGGTGGTGTGGCTGCTGTCCACCCGTTCCTTGGGGAGTGTAGAGCCTGTGTAGAAGAAGTCTGGTGCAGAAGGTGCTGGGGGCGTGCTTCTCTTAGTGACAAGCATGGCGGGTTCAAGACAGGTGACCAAGTGACAGGATGGTTTCCAAAGCTTGGCCACTGGTGACATGTACAGGTAAGGATCATCTGCCCTGTGCTCCAGCTGTTGGCTAGGTCAGACCAGAAGGCTACAATGTGTCCCCAGGAGGCTTCACTGGGGTTCTTTGAGCCAAACATCTCACTCAGAGAACAGTAAAGTCTCTTCCACGGGAGCCATGGGGGACCTGCCACCATCCCTCCCTCCTCCAGTGGTCACCACCTCCTTTTTCCTCTTGAGTTCCTGTAATACCATACCATCTTTGATCTTACCCTTTCCTCTGCTTCAGAAATGCCACTTGAAAGGGGTGGCAGGAGAGTGTCTGGAGAGAGCTGCTGCAGAATTGAAATGTTAACGAGGGTGTCTGTGTGCCTCTTTCCCAACAGAAAACTTGGAATATAATGTGGAGCCTCAAGAAATCTCACACCCAGATGTGGGACGCTACTTCTCAGAGTTCACTGGCACACACTACATCCCAAATGCGGAGCTGGAGATTCGGTATCCTGAGGACCTGGAGTTTGTGTATGAGACAGTGCAGAATATTTACAGTGCAAAGAAGGACAACACAGCTGAGTAGACTCTTGGGGACACTGCCCCTTGCTGCTGCTACCTTCCAGGGGAACCGGATTCCTGGAGGACATGTCTGAGGGTCCCCTGGACTCAGCACAGGACAGCCACTTCACCAGCAGCTGGCTGCCTCCCCAGTTTAGATGGCGTGCACTCCTGCAGCCACAGACAATGTTGCTCTCCGCTACACTAGTGAATTCACTCGGCACGGTGTCCAGTGGCATGGCTCGTCTGCTTGTCCGTGGTGACAGTGTGTGACATTCTGTCTTCATGAGGTCTCAGTCTCCTCTCTTCTTCATCCCCTTCCCTCCCTGTGTCTGTCTGCATTCGTATCAGCGTTTCACCTGATGGACAGATGGGGTCCACATTTGCAATAATTTCTTTCTGGTTCTCTCTGGAACACAGGCGCTCCTTAGTCATGATGCTGTCCCTTTGCCTCGGGTTAGGTACCTATTCGGAGACAAAGGTCACGCCATCTTGGACATGGAGACATGAACCGGCTAACAGAAGTTAGAACCTTTAGTTTTGGGTTTTGGGTTTTGGTTTTGGTTTGGTTTTTGTTTTGTTTTGCTAATACATGACACAGATTTCACACAGTTTTGCTTCTGTTCCTCTTGGGTTTCTGCACATTTCTGGCAGTCCTCAGTCTTCTGTTTTGTTACGTAGGATTCTCTGAGCAAATGCACAGTGGCCTTTACGAGTGAATTTTTCCACATTAGTCAGCTGTTCCTTTCTTTAAGATGACTACCTTAAAGTTTAGAGATCTACTCCAGTATCATGAGTGGATCTCAAGTCAGGCATGGTTCCTTTTAGTAGTGAGACCTACAGATCTGATGTTGAAATGTTTGCTCTTAAATATTGTACTTTCTGGTCCCCAAAGACCAAAAGAATGAGCTTTGACTCTTCTGATAAAGTGAGCTGATGAACTCTTAACTGAGGGAGAGAAGCGATTCCCTGCCCCTTGTCATCTGTAGAGTCCCTTCCAGACCCTCATTTTTAAGAGTGGGAAGAGACACACATGCTTTGGGTCTCCTGGGTGAGGTCTAGCCCCTGGCAACCCAACTGCTGCCTGATGCTCCTGGTAGCAGTGTGAAGGGTCCGAGTTAGCTGCTCCCGCATGTGCCACCTGTCATTGCCCAGCAGGCCAACCTCCAGGAGTGGGCCCTCACCCTTCTGCTCTGCGTTTAACATACCGCTGCTCTAGTGAACGGGGCTTTGGGGGCTGCCAGCCAGCTTCCCCACCTGCCGTCTGCATGCAGTATTCTCATGACTCTAAACGACTGCTCCTTCATTACCCTTTGTCAGTCCCAGGATGACCCAGGAGGCCACCTAGTGACAAGGGGGCCATTAGGCAGTTTCTAGAAAGATAGGAGGTGGCTGGCAGTTCTTGCAGCTGAACTAGCTGTTGTCCAGCATCTGTCCCTCACCAGTCAAATGCAAAGTCTGGTTGGAACTTGCATTTGGAAGTGTGATCACACGCAGTATCTGCCTGAGGTCAGGATTTCACACTACTCATTTAAAGGTGAAAATCAACCAATACAGAGTCACAGACCCACTCATGGGACACGTTACTAAGCAGCCACGGAGCGTGCTGGGAGTTCCCATTGTTGGGTTTCTGCTTTGATTTCCTTATCCCTTAGAGTAACATCAAAGCCAACAAAGGTGGATTTCCCTTTACTGACCCGACTGTAAATATGTATGTAGACTGTTTATAATGTGTTTCTCCATGGATGCGTCTGGCTAAGCAAGCCTGTGTCACCTGTGCAAGTTGGTTATTTGGGCACTTTATATTTTTCTAAAAATGTGTTTTGGATCCTGTACTCTAATAAATCATAAGTTTCTTTTTAAAAATTTTTCCAAAAGTTTTCTCCATTTTCAAAATCCCTGTTATAAAAAGTAGAACTTTCGCAATGTTAAAATATTAAATATTTGGATATAGTACCTTCTTTTCTCTTCAAATGAATGCCAAGATTTTTTTGTACAACATTAATAAATGGAACTTACCAAGAGAAACCACGCAAGTGGCCTGCCCAGTTTCATTCAGAAACAAGGACGGGGCAGGAAGGAGGAAAGTAGGGTCTCGTGTCTCCTGAGCTGTGAGAGAACAGCAGCCGGCCCCAGTTTTTCTGTATTACTGGGAATGTGCTGCAAGTTTCTTGTTGGTCATAGGCTCTCTGAGCTCTGGGAACCTTTGAGCAGCTGGTTGCAAAGTAAAAAAGATTGCATCTGTGTGTGAAAACCCATTGTATAGTAAGAACTGGAAACCGGATTTGGGTGCCTTTTGTCACCATTGACCCCCCCCCCCACAGTGCCTTGGATGTGTCCTTAAGTCTGTTGTGAAGATGGAAGGGAAGGTGGGACTAGTTAGCTGAGCTAGCACTGTCAATTTCCAAGAGAGAGATGAGACAAGGGGCCCTGACTTAGTAGGGCCTAGAACTTGCCCTACGTGTACACGTGCATGTGCGTATATGCATGTACCGTTCCAGGTCCAGGATCTGTGGGAATACTCAGAAATGGGTTCAGTGAGACTTGTCAGTCACCAGTTGTCCGGACCTTGTCAGCAGTGTCACCCGCCCAGTCAGGTTTTAGAAGATGGCTGCTGCCCTTTGCCTGACACCCTCACAGGCATTGTGGTAGGTGTTTTGATGCAGCAAAAACCTTCCTTCAGAGCCTGCATGGAGTGCCCTTGTGAACTCTGCTCGTGTCACATCGGCTTGAAGTCTTGTTCTGAAGTTTCCATCTTTCTTACTGTGTTAAAGTGAGGCATGCTACCACGTTCAGCCTCCATTAGTTCCCTTTGCTATAAAGAACATTTCCTTTCTTTAGTCCCAACTCTCTAAGCAAAAGAAATTGGACAACCAGCAACTTTCTCCTTTAAATGCGTCTGTGACCATTGGCACAAAGATGTGACTCACCTTTGTTTATTTTATCTTGCTTTTTTTGGATCGAAGGAGCCAACGTGCACTAGGCAAAATGCAGAATTGGGCCACATGATTTAGTTTTGGGGGATGCTGATGGCTGTTGTATGTGTCCACTATGAGGCCGCCAGAACCAGATTAGTAAATGCCTCAGTTCTTGCACACTGCCTAATGTCTCTTTTGAGTGTCTTTGAATTTCAAGTGTGAAGACCCGGCTCTGCTTGAGGCTACATGGAAACAGGGTGTGACTGGATTGGGCCCCCTTAGGATGGCGTCCTGCTGCGTACATGGGTAAATCAAGGCCAGGCTGCTTGAACACGTGGGTGGACACAGCACCACTGCACCCAGCCATTCAGGGTCATGCTGTGGACATCAAGAGCAACTACCTCACCCAACAGTACCCCCTTGCCTCCTGCAGCTTAAACCTTTAAGTTCTGAATAGCCAGAAGCCTGAGATTCCAGGATATTCCTTCAGTGGATAAAAAAATGTGCAGTTATAGCATCAATGTATTGTAGCCACTTAGTGACAGTTGTATTAGGTTAATGCTGGTTCTGTAATAAAGACCCAAAAACACTGCGCTCAAGCACCATAGAACTTTCTTGCTCAGGGATTGCTGTGAAGAAGATGGGCTGGCTTTCCAAGGCCTGGGCTAATAGAGGTGGCTGCCAAAGGGCCCTGTGGGCCCCCCACTTACACAACAAGCTATGGACCCCTTACACACGTTCAGTCCTAGTGCAGGTGCTGTGAGAGGGAAGAAAGGTTCTGGACAGGGCCTCTGCCAGCATCCATCACTATAGCCAGAACCCGGGTCAGGGCTAAGGAGATGTTCAGTCAGCAGAGTGGTCAACATGCAAGTGTGAGAACCCAAGTTTGATCTCTACCTCCTGCGTGCAAAGCCCAGTGTGGTGGCACACACTTGTAATCCCGGTGGGAGAGAGATGGAGACCCCTGGGACTTGCTGGCCAGACTAGCCAATGAGAGACCATGTTTCAAAGGTGAGCAGGGGTTCTAAGGCTGGCATACACATACTTTAGAAAACAAAAACGGGGCTGGAGAGATGGCTCAGCAGTTAAGAACACTGTTCTTGCAGAAGACCCAGGTTCGAATCCCAGCACCCGCATGGCCGTTAACAACTGTCCGTAACTCCGGTTCCAGGGCATCTGACAGCCTCTTCTGTCCTCCACAGGCATTGCACAACATGGGTGCACTTACCTACACGCAGACATAACACTCATAAAATAAAAATAAAATATTTAAAAACAAAAACAGGACCCTTCAAATCAGGACCCTAACACCAGAGAAGCTGGGAGATGCCTTGAGGGGGCAGGGTGAGTAGGCACCCTGATCCTCAGATGCCCATCACCCAGAGTCTTTTCTAGTCTCTGTGTTCCATTGGGTGGGGTGAGGCCAGGTCAACTGTAGCCAAAACACTCCTTTGGAAGACAGAGTGAGGCACGCAGAAGCCACCAGTGTCCAGGTGCCATGAAGACCCTGCTCTGGCTGGGGGGGCGGGGCAGGGGAGTATCTTACAAAACCCAACACTGTTCTCACCCAGTTCTCACCAGGGCCCAATCTATTCCAGACCTTTCTCAAGCCTGACCCAGTCACATCAGAACAGAGTGCTACATGGGTCCCACCTGCAGCCAGGGGGCCCTTGTGACCCCTGGACCTCTATTTTTCAGCACACTGTAAGACTTCTGAGTAGTGTTCTCAGATCCTTAGTTGTCTACCAACTAACCTACTTCTGTCATTAATGATACCCAAAGTTCTCTTCCAGAACATTCCAGCCTACTTGATGGCCTTGTGCTGCTCCCTCTTCTTTCTGATGTAATGCCAGCCCACCCCCTCTCCGCAAGCTGATACCAACCAAGGTATGACTATGTGAAAAATGTTTCCCAAGAATTTCCCTTGTCTTCATGGTGGTATGTAGAAGTTGCTGCCCTTTTCATTTCTTTCTCTGGTTGCTTGGTTGTTATGAGATAGGGTCTGACTGTGTGGCCCAGGCTGGCTTGGAAGTCCTAGGCTCACACGATCCTCCTGCCTCAGCGTCCTGAGAAGACAGGACCATAACTGTGCCACCATGTCCCCTCAGTCTCTTTTTCAATACAAGACATTGTCTTGGGGTGTCTGACCTGTAGCCCGAGCTTCTGTTGTCCCTGTGCTGTGAGCAGCAAACACTGTGTTCAGTCTCTTTCTAGGTCCTTGTTCCCTGTTCTAGCTAAGGGCTACACCTAGCAAGCAGTAAGGGGCTGGCTGCTCCCTGTAACCTGCACACTGCCTGTGTCTGCTGTGGCTGCTCAGAAAACAGAGGACACTGACTGAGTCACTTTGGAAGTCAGGGTGTGGTTTCCATTGACTGTAGAAGAGGAGGACTGGACAGATGCAGGGGAGGGGGCCAGGGGCCTTGCACCAGTAGGCCACTGCTGCTCACAAACAGTTGTACATCCCAGTCCCAGAATTCTTTGGAATTCAGGGAAGGCTAAGAAGCACTTTGAATGAATGTTGCTGCTGCTTTCCTGTGGCCAGGCATTGTCATTTCTCTTTCTTACATCTACATGTAGAATGGTTGCCTCACTCCATGTTTGTTCACATGCAGACAGCTGGCTTCCCACATGGAATGGCTTCATATCCACCCATGTACCCAGCCTCTTTCAGTGTTGTCTCCTTCAGGATGGCTCATGGATGGTTTCTCTTGATCATACCTCACAAGCCAACTGTGAAATTCTGATCTTTTTATTTTTCAGTTAAGATTTATGTGTATGAGTGTTCTGCCTGCATGTATGTAAGTGCACACGTGCCTGCAATGCCCATGGAGGCCAAAAGAGGGTGTGGGATGCCCTGGAACTGGGGTTATGGACAGTTGCTCTCCTGTCCGGTTTCTTGTGTGTGTGTGTGTGTGTGTGTGTGTGTGTGTGTGTGTAAGTTCCATTTTGTGTGTGTTTTGCTTTTGGTTTCTTTCCTAAATTTTTTTTTTTATGTGTATGAGTGTATTGCCTGCATGTATGTAAGTGCATCCGTGTCATGCAATGCCCTCAGAGGTCAGAAGAGGGTGTCAGATTCCCCTGGAACTGGAGTTATGGATGGTTGTTAGCTGCCATGTAGGTGCTGTGAATCAAACCCAGGTCCTCTGCAAGAGCAGCCAGTGTTCGTAACTGCAGAGCCATCTCTCCAGCCCCCTTACTTTTGGTTCCTGAAATGGTCTCACTGCAGCTCAGGCCAGCCGGGAACTCTTGACCCTCCTCACTCCATCCCAGGGCTGGAGTCAGATGTGAGCCACCACATCCTGCCATGATTTCTTTCTGTAGGGAGACAGGACAGTTTTCAGCAATTCCACCTGTAAGGAACATAACATTCTTCATTCTCAGGATCCAAATGTATGAGAGACAGTGAATGCTTCTAGAATGTTTCATGAAGTCATTTTGCCTTCCTGTGATAGGACCTGGTCAGAGCTCTTTCATCCCACCCTGTGCCAAAGTTCACTGGCTGTAGAAACACTTGGAATTCTCCCAGTTGATACTCAAGAAAGCCAAGGCTCAGAGAGGCTGAGTGGCTTGCCTGGGATGGCACAGCTCCTGAGTAACAAGCCCAGGGTCCAGCCCAGCTCTGCCTGGGGTGGAAACCAAGGGCTGTTTACAGTCGTCCTGGTCTTGTCTGTTTGAACACTCACCCTCCTGGGAACAGCTGAAAGAAAGCCATTTCCCCATAATGGTGCCTTTGCTTCTCTGTGAGCTGACCACCAAACTGTAACAGGAACAGTTTGGTTATTAGTGAGACACAGGAAGGTAGACACTGGCAGCCTGTGGCAGGCCACAGCACAGTTCTGTGTGTAAGCAACACTATTTTACCTTTCCAGGGATTGCTCCAGTTCCAAGATGCATGTGGCCGGTCTATGAGGTACTGAGTAGCAACCAGCGAGTGAGCCACACAGGGCAATAGACAAACAGCTGGTTCCAGGGTGAGGGCATGCACGCAATGCTCACTCTCATAGCGACAGGCTCTGCTCACCATCACCATCTAGGCATGAGGCACTCACCCCATTTGGCCTCCCAGCCCTTGGCAACCTGCCAGGACAATGTTGTTGGACTGGGAACAGAGAGCCAGGATGAGCCAGTGCACAAAATGAAGCAGGTGTCCCACCAGCTGGTGGCACTGTCCAGGCTCTGCTGTCCCCTCCAGGGAACCAATGTGGAAATGTGGGGGTAATTTTCCATGTCCCTTCCCAGTGACTGCAGAGAATGCAGGCTGGTTGCCAGCCTCTTGACCACTCCTGGCACAAAGTCCAGGCGGAAGGTGCAGAGACAGGTGCCTACCCACCTCCTGGCCAGAATATATCTCACCAAAGCTCCTCTTCACCCTTCAAGGCCTCCAAGCTGCCGGTACTCAGTACCTGGTACTCAGTACTCCTGTTGCCTGGGGATGCTTCACTTTCATTTTACATTCAAATGATGCCTCTCAAGGCCCAGTCATAGGGCAGGTCCCCCAGGCTAGGGTATGCTGTGGGTTGAGCCTGCTGGGAACTCTGCAATCCTGTCTTCCTCTTGTCCCTCCCCAGTGAATGACGTGGAGAAACGAGACAAGGGCTGTCCTTCCATCCCCAGAACCAGGCCCCTAGCACCTCTCACTGTTGTCAGCAGCATGGCCATCCCCGAATGGAGGACAGGGACCCTAGGGGAAGGCAAAGTGCCTGACACAGAAGGACTCACCTGAGCTGGGCAAGCGCTGTTGCCTAGCAGCTAACAGGTGGAACCTGTTGCCTTGTCCCCAGAAGTGGGACATGAACCCGTGGCTCCTCCTCACCTTGTCCTGCATCCTGATCTCAGCATTCCCCCAGCCACACTTCAGTCAAGGCCACTGGAAAATCCCTGGAGCATCCCCCTGCCTCCCACCTGGGGCTGCTTGCTAGCTGTCTGCCCCTGTCCTCTGGGTGCTGTCCAGATTCCCAAGCCCCATGCACCACCCTCCTGCACCGGTTCTGTTGCAACAGAGATAGGTTTCCTGCACTGGGTGCCAGTCCACACACTGAGCCCTCCCATAGGCTCTTCCCTGTGCCTAGAAGCCCACCTCCATCACCACAGGGCACTGGGCACAGCTGGGAGCTGGGCTGCCCACATCCCCATGCCACCTCCTGGTTGGGTTAGGCTGTGGACTCTAGCTCAGGGTCTCTCA